CGGCCATGCCGGGGCGCAGCCGGCGAGGCCTTTGTCTGCTGGGCGCCTCCTCACCTGCCGCAGCCCCGCGGCCCAGCCCAGCAGCGCCCCATCACCCCCCGGCCTCCAAATCTGTCCCCGCCATGGTGCATGTGCAGCCAGAAATCGCTGCTGCCATTTCCCGTGTGCCTGCAAACCGGCAGCGGGCAGCAGCGGGGCCGGGGAGCCCGTAACGGGTGCGTTGTGTCCCTGGGAGCCGGATCCCGTTTTTTTGTCACCCCGCTCCTGTTTTTTTTCTGCCGTCGGGGCCGAGCCACGGGACGTCCCCGTGTCCTGGATCCCCTCTGTCCCCATGAGCCCGGGGGGGCCCAGGACCTGCCTGGCTCCAGGGGTGCGGGCAGGGGAAGGGGCAGCGGGTGCAGGGTGCCACACACCGGCACGTGCTGGCCATGCACCGCAGGCAAGGGCGGCACAGCCGTGGCGTGGGCACAGCAGGGACACGGAGGCAGTGGTGGCCGGGGCTGTGCCCACACGCAGACAAAGGGCTGGCCGTGCCCGGCCGCCTGGTCTGTGCCAGCAGCGTCGGCGTCGCCCACTCCCCCGGTGCAGGTGCCGGGGCTGGCACGTGACAGAGGGGCCTCCACCGGCAGCGAGCATCCCCCCCGCACGCTCCCGCTGCCGAACCCTCTGACTGTCACTCACGGCTGCGGCCGAGCAGATGGCACCTGGGCTGGAGCTGGCCCGCGGGGAGGCAGGGCCCACCCCAGCCGTGCCTGTGCCGGTGCGGTGCCGGGGCACCAATTCCTGGGCAGCCTCCTGGCACATCGCAGCCCTTCCCCGCAGCACCGTTCAGCTCCCTCTGTTGTTGCCATCTTCATTTTGCAGGCGGGTGCCAGTCGGGCATCACTGTACCCCGGGAGCCCACCCTCGCCCGGTGCCCGCGGCACGCCGGCGCTGCCTGTTCCTGCCAGCTCTGGGTAAGTCCCCACTCCGCTGCCCTCGGTTCCCAGGCCAGGGGACCCCCAGCCCTCAGCAGGCAGCACGGCCCCACTCCAGCCCGGCTGCACCCCCGGCGTCGGGGCAGTGAAGCTGGCGGT